ATATATATATATATATATATATATATATATATATATATATATCTGGGATGGATCTTCTCTGGGCATGGATCTTGCCATAGATATATATATTGAGGGATGGATCTTCCTTGGGCATGGATCTTGCCCGAGGTATTTATATTGAGGGATGGATTTTCCCTGGACATGAATCTTGTCTGAATCATTGATATTTGGGGATGGATCTTCCCCTGGGCTGGATTGTCCTTATACAGTATTGAGTGACTGACTGTCAGTTGATGGATATACATATATATTTTGGGATAGATCTACCCTGGGCTGGATTGGCCATATACAGTACTGAGTGATTGAGTATTTTAGATTGTGAGTACACGGAGTTTTCATTAAAGTGCATCACATACAGTATGTACATTGACATGTAGATACAGAGATGTCATATTCCTCGTATTGTTCAGAATTGATCTGTTTTATTTGTACTGAAAGCAACTATTAAACTTGAAAGCATGTCTACATTTATGTATTGTTATTATTTATACTGGACTGTACCTGCGAAGCTCGTCACTACTTTCAGCCCAGTAGTTAGTTTTGTTACTTATTGAGTTGGTTGTACTCATACTACACTATGCGCCTCGTCTGCAGGTCCAGGTACTTCCGGATACGGCGATTGCCAGATTTGAGGATTTATTTGTTGGAGACTATCAAGGTAGTTGCTCGATGTTCGCTGACCTTATCTCTCTTTTCTTCAGTTATTGTATTGTTCTATATATTTCAGACAATGTTTTATCAGACAGACTTTGTATTCATATTAGATGCTCATGTACTCAGTGACACGGCGTTTTGGGAATTTATTTTTATGTCAGAAATTGTGATATTTTCTATGAAATTCAATGTTATGTTTTCAAACTTCAAAGATATGGTGTTTTATTGAGATTGTCGGCTTGCCTAGTATTGAGATAGGCGCCATCACGACAGTTGAAATATTGGGTCGTGACACTATCGGGCCAAAATCTTCTTGCGGGGCTTTGCCCGTATCCCGGGAAGCTTCAATTCCTGCCTCCTCCTCGGCCTCCCCGACTTGATGAAGATCGGCCTCGCCTCCCCCTGGTTCGGAAGCCCTTTGCCCTTCGAGCTACGGCGGTATGCTGGCCACCAGATCGAAGGCTTCTCCTTCCCCCTCAGACTCATCCCTCAATCGATAGAGTGAGTCCGGAGACAGTGCTCGAGCACTAGTGCTTTCCTTGGGTTTACGCGCCAATCGTTTCCTTGGCTTCTTCTTCTTAGAGCCCGGAGAACTCGGAGCCCTTTTTCTTTTCTTCTCTTTATCATGCACTGAAGCAGGGGGCTCGGCGAAGATATCGTCATTACCAGATGGATGCCTCATCGCAACATATTTTGGTAAACCTACAAAAAAGAAGTTAAGCAAGTCAGAAATTGATAGCGCGAAAGGGAAATCAAATGTCACTTGAGAAAAATCTCACCATGGGAACGGGCCTCCCATCGGCCCTTCGAAAGCTCGCGCCATGAACAACTCGGAATATGGCCTCTGTGTTACAATACCCTCGACCCACTCTTTCAGTCGAGGAACTGCATCCGGGATCCGAGCGACAGCTGCACCACCACAAAACACTAATGAGAAGAAAGAGAAAGAAAGAGTAATGAATAAAATCGTAAAAGTAAGATTATACTTACGTGACATGTTCCACTTCTCAGGAAATGGCATGTACTCGACTGGGATCAAATCAGAGGTCTTCACTCGGACGAATCGGCCCAGCCAGCCTCGATCCCGATCTTCGTCGATGCTCAAGAACAAGGCCTTACTGGCCCGACGGGCAAGCTTGATTAATCCCCCTCTATAGAGTCGGGGACTATATAAGCGCATGAGATGGTCGATGGTGAAGGGATACCCCTCGATCTTTCTTACGAAGAAACGAAGGAGAATTATTATCCTCCAAAAGGAGGGGTGAATTTGACTGAGGGTCACTTTATACCTCTTACAGAAGGCAATAATGACCGGGTCCAAGGGGGCCAGCATGAAGGGATAAGTGTAAATACTTAAAAAACCCTCCACAAAGGTAGTAATAGCTTCCTCGGGCTTGGGGACCACTACGTGCTTATTGGCCCAGTTGCAATCTTTCTTGACCTCGGAGAGGACATCCTCGATGATCGAGCAGATATATCTCGAG